AGGCGGGCTTACGATTTGAAAGGGCCCAAAAATGGAGTCCAAGTGGCTGGCTCAATGTCCACATTTAAGAACCCCTCAAAATTGTGGCTTTCCCACATTTTGGACTGAGGCAGTGAAGTTCTATCCTGAGGAACAGGCCTGGTCGGAGCGAGTTGACGCGACCTGATGTTTTGATGTCAAGGATGGCTTCAAGCCACCCGCAACAGATTTGCTACGAGGAAGTCCAAGCAACTCTTTTCAAATTGAAGCTTCGTGGTGTAAATTGCTGGTTTGCGATTGGCAATGTTGCCGTGGGCAAAGCACATATGGTCGTCTGCTGACGCAAGTGCTCAAACTGGACAGGTAGGTGTTTGTTTGGTACGACAGGACGTGCTGGATGAACTCGATCCCGTGATAAGAATTGCATGGTGATGACATGGAGAGCGAGGCAGGGATATTGTGCCAGGCCGTGCTGAGTGCCTCGCACGACATGCTGCGTTTGCACCCCTGCGACGCAGGGTGCTCTGTGCGAGGCAAATCCATGGGTTGTGGTTGACGGCCTTGTAAAACGGGCCAAATCCATGGTCAGTTGTGAACATGGTACCTACGCTGAGCTGAGGTTTAAGAGTGCATGGTCACATTCACACACTGTGTAAGTAGACTCTCTTGCTAGTCTTGTGAAGTCGCAAAGTGTTGGAGCAGTCAGTCGCGCCAAGGAAGGCATTTCCTTTGTGACTAAGCCTATTCGCTATGCCTGACGCCTGAAATCTCCCAGTAATTGCAGAACAACTCTCCCGCCGCTTTAGTCAGCATTCCGTACAATGTCAAGTCCGGATATTTCAATCTTTGTGGTGTGTTCTCAAGATAGTGAAGTACTCTCTCTTAAGTGGGAGTCTATCAGTCAACCAGGAGTTGATTGATTCGGGGTGAGAATTTGCGAGCGACGGGCTTTCGGATATGCCTTCCAGGAATCTGTCTGGAGTTCCTTGCGGCCAAGGCCATCTCCAGTACCAGTGACACCATGGACGTGGACTGGAAGGGCCTCCAGGATCGTGAAGACATGGGTGTGTCTTAAAATAGGGGACGCCGCCAAAAAGGCGTGGCTTTCTCTTTGGCTTTTCTTCGAACCAGTCCCAACAAAAAAACCCTCTAAAAAAGGCCTACGCGAAGTTCGTTCCGGATTCTGTTCGATTGTCTTGGCCAATTTGGGAGCGGGAGAGACATGAGGGTCTCCCTCCCCTCCCCTCCCCTCCCCTCCCCCTCCCTCCCCTCCCCTCCCTCCCCTCCCCTCCTCCCTCCCCTCCCCTCCCCTCCCCCTCCCCTCCCCCTCCCCTCCCCTCCCTCCCCTCCCCCTCCCCTCCCCCTCCCCTCCCCTCCCTCCCCTCCCTCCCTCCCTCCCCCCCTCCCCCTCCCTCCCCCCTCCCTCCCCCTCCCCCTCCCCTCCCCTCCCCTCCCCTCCCCTCTCCTCCCCTCCCTCCCCTCCCTCCCCTCCCCTGTCTGTCTGTCTGTCTGTCTGTCTGTCTGTCTGTCTGTCTGTCTGTCTGTCTGTCTGTCTGTCTGTCTGTCTGCTGTCTGTCTGTCTGTCTGTCTGTCTGTCTGTCTGTCTGTCTGTCTGTCTGTCTGTCTGTCTGTCTGTCTGTCTGTCTGTCTGTCTGTCTGTCTGTCTGTCTGTCTGTCTGTCTGTCTGTCTGTCTGTCTGTCTGTTCTGTCTGTCTCTGTCTGTCTCTTCTCTCTTCTCTCTCTCTCTCTTCTCTCTCTTCTCTCTCTCTCTCTCTCTCTCTCTCTCTCTCTCTCTCTCTCTCTCTCTCTCTCTCTCTCTCTCTCTCTCTCTCTCTCTCAGAGTTTCTCACAACTGGCCGGCTGGAAGTAGATTCTAAAGTTTTCCTGTAGCAGGTGTAGCAGTTTCGACTGCTTCGCGATTCTCAACCCGTAGGGTGCTTGAAGGGCTTGGAGATGATCTCAGGCTGAATGCGGCGTCAATAGCTACCCCCTAGAAACCTGCCATTTGGACGACCAGCATCAAGTGCGAATTCCGCACTGTCAAAACCTTACGGGCGTGTATTTTCCTTGAAGGGTAGCCTATTTCACCTCGGTTTCAAGGGACACCAGGAGGACAGCCATCATCTGAGGCTCCCCGATTTGGCCCCGCGTTCGCGCGTATGCGGTGCCAGGACATGCGGCTCTGCTACCCCGACGAGAAGCTCTTGGAGCACCTGGCGTCGTTGAGATGTCGTGGGGATGTGCCCCTCTAAACACTCGGGGACCACGAGGTCATTTCTTTGGGTATGTATTGTATGTACCAGTGTTTTTTCTTCTTCTTTTTTTCGGATAGCTGAAAGCAAGAAGGGGTTGGGAGGGGCAGGCTGCTTTGCGAGTTCGGGCCAGGTTGGAGCTGGTCATGGTACTGTTTGGGTTGCGCTCAAGATGCTGTGGTGGTTGCTGGCAGTGCCTGTTTTGCGACGCAGCCAGGGAGCTGTTGTGGGTGCTGGACAGGTGCTTTTGTGTGGTAAAGGTGCGGTGGCAGTTCCTGGCGGCTTGTTTGCTTGCTCAGGGTGCTGTTTGATGCGCTAAAGGTGCTGTGGTGGTGGTGCTTGCGGGTGCTGTGGTGGTGGTGCTTGCGGTTGCTGGTCAAGGTGCTGTTTGGTGGTGCTCAAGGTGTGGTGGTTGCTGCTGTGATTGTGTCGCAATTCAGTCAGGGTGCTGGTCAGGGTGTTGGGTGGCTGTTGCTGGTGTTGCTCAGGCTGCTGTCGTGCTGTTTGTTTCCCAAGGCGCGAGGGCAGTTGCTAGTGCGCGTTTTTGCAGTCGGGGTGCTGATCAGGGTGCTGTCTTGGGTCTGGGTGCTGTTTGGTTTCCTCAAGGTGTGGTGTTTGTTGGCGCTGCTTGTTTGGCGACGGGTCCCAGCTAGGGTGCTGATCAGCGCTGTTGCAATCTTCCATGCTGTCTGGAGTTTATGCTGGTGTAATTTTGAGAGTGTTTTTTGTCGAGCTTAGTTCATGTTGGGGATGCCACGCCGGTTGAAGAGAAGCACCCAAGGGAAGAATCTGGACAGCGGGACTCCGCGACGACGTGCAACACCATTGGGACAGATCAAGTCTCGACTATCCACTTTAAGGCCTCCAATGCATCCCATTCTGTTCCCCGCTCTTAAAACTTATGCGCTCTGATAGCACTTTGCCGCGTGTTTTACGCATTGTTCCTTGACATTGCTTTTTGCGCAGAGGATGGAGGGCTGTTCGAGCGCTGATCCTCGTGCTCCTAAAGCTCCCTCCCCTATTCACCTCTCAAAGTGAGCTGGCATCGCCCTTGCACGGACGCTAGCTTTCGTGTGCGTCCCCTGGCCTCAACTTTGCATTTGCTTCAGACATCGCATATACATCTACATATGGGGTGATGCCTGCCAGAGGCGAACGATTGCCGGACTGTCCGCATGACTGCCAACATCATGTTGAGAGATGGTCGAAGAGAACTCTGTGTTTTTTTGGATTCCCCCCCGCCAATTGTGACACGTACCCATGGTATGTTGGGTTTGATCGAAGATCTGCCAGGCTGTCACTGCCGAGGGCTCCCAGTTGGGCATTTGGGTGGTGGGAGGCTCAGGACAGAGATACTGCGGGATTGGGCAAACACTTTCAACCAACCAACGGCCTCCGATGTTTCTGAAGGTCGAGAGTTTCTGGAAGGCCTGGTTGCCCGGGAGTGGTCACGACAGACGGTCACCATTGGATGCTTGTTTCCTCGAATGAGTCTTTACAGGGCTTGGGTGGGGGGTGGGTGGGTGGGTGGGTGGTGCTTCAATCGGAGTGACCAGGTTTTGCTTCTCCGCGCGTGCGTAAGCCGTCAGGCAGACCTGCGCAGGGAGAAGGTGGTCGGGCACTCGAGAAGTTCTGTTTCGAGTTGCCTTGTGGTAGACGGCGCTCATGAACCTCGAGGACTTAAATTTCCAAGGCACCCCTTGAAATGGTCAGAGAGGGGCCGTGCCCAAAGTTCAAGAACAACCTGGAAGAACCCCCCCCCCCCCGCATTTTCCCATGTCCTCTGGTGGGGAAAACCATGCTAGTTTGTCTCGGGATCAGACGTGAAGCTGGCAAACGAGCTGGCCACCGGAAACGAGGGCTAGAAGGTGCGTTTGTTTGCGTGTTTTTGTGAGGGTACTCGGATTTCCTCTTTTGGTGGGGCTTGATTGAAAGTGAAGTCAACTCTAGAACCCATTTGTTTTGGGGTTTCCATTTAGAGACGTCCACTCATATTTCAGAAGAGCCACTTCTGCGTAGGTCGGGCGGCCGCGAGGCACGTAGTCGATTTGGAAGATCGAGTCGGGTGTCAGGTGACTTTCGAAGTCGGTTTCCGACGCACGGCTTGAGACTGTTTGCCTAAGGGACCTGACAATTGGGTTTCGGAATCCTCACTGCCAGGCTCGAATCCCAAGAAGTCCGGAGTTCGCTTCACTCAATATGCCAAGCGCTAGTCTCGGCATCGGGCGATCATGGGTTTCAGTGGATTCTAGAGCTGAGTTGAGTTGTAAGCGAAGACTTCTTTTAGTCAAACATGCTCGGAAAGGACGGGGTCCATTTTTTATCGCCTTGATATGAGATTCAGTCAAACTTGAAGTCTATGGTTCATTTGGGAGGGACATGGAGGACTCCATATGCCCAATGAGATCAGCGGCTTGTTCTCACGCATGCCAGGGAACGCTGGCCGCGTGTCACCCACCCAGGCCAGGGGCAGAGGGCTCCCTACTTTGAGGAACACTTGTGTGTCCGGGGTTGGGACTTGTTGCTGACATAAACTATCCAAGGGCACTGTACAAGTTGCCTGAAAAGGGGTTTGGTGCCCTACTGTATGAGTTGGATTTCAAGCCTGTTCCCTGAAAAAAACTCCTGCCCCGTCGCTGGGGACGCCTTCACAATTGTTTACTTTGCCAAGCAAAGCCCGTTCGTTTGCAGACCTTGCGATGAATGTTGACCCCGGGAAAGAATACCAATCAGACCAGTTTTGGTGGTGTTTTCCTCGCAAACTGCAGGATTTTTTAATGGCACACACCCGTATTCATTATGCAGGTTCTTAGTCCCGAGTTTTTACACCGCTAGCTAGCGATCTGAGGCGCCCCCTGGGCCGATCGACGCCGAAGAGGCGCATGGATGGCGGATGATTCCCATTCGGAAGCCCGAGGGACACCCCGAAGCTGGATGTTTCGGTCTGAGCGGGACCCGTGGCAAAGTTGACTTAGACAGCGCCGCATGGGGAGTGTTTCCGTGGGAGCCGGGTTCCGTAAAATGGGAATCGCTCGGTAAGTAAAATTTTCGGGCCCCATGTTGAGAAACTCAGCCTGGTGCGGCTGGGTGCCAACTTGGCCGTTGCATATCGGGCAAGAGACAAGGCGCGACATACGGACAGCCCTCGCGGATGGCCAGGCCACGTCGAGCTACGCGGAGGTAGCAGCAGTTGGCTTAGGTGGCCAGTCACCGTTTGGGCAAAACGTGTTTGAACAACTAGGCCACGGTCTGAAAAAGGAAAAATCAACAGGCGATGGTTTACACAATCAGTTTTTGAGCGCATCTACAAAGCTTGGCCCACCCCGGCCAGAGATTCGGGTGATCACTTGCTGTGTGTGTGTGGCTGCACACAGGGTATAGTGTGCCCGACAGCTCATTAAGCGGCACATTTGCTATCGCACGTGCAACACTACTGTAACCATCAGGATTATTGCCGTTGTGTTTTTGATGATGGCTGAGTGGCCGGGCGGGGCACACCAACCCATGTCGGAGCCGCTTTTCCGAAGCCACTCTAAAACGGAGGGCCCCTATTTTGGGGACTGGCGGGGATTGGATTCGCACTCTGCCCTCTGAGGCGGAGGTCAAAGCCGCAGCTGCCGCCGCAATGGAGCGGGTCCACCACTTTAGGGAAGGAGGTGCGGGGAAGAGGTTTACGTCATGTCGCCAAGTCTATCCACGCGGTTGGGTTGCACATTTTGCTGAACAATCACCCCTGGTCCATTTAAAGGGAAACCGGACAGATGCTGTTTAACCAAAATTGTTGAATCATGTGTAATCGATGGGGTCAGCCCCACAGGGTTTCCGCTTGAGCCCTAGTGAGTTGTCTGCAACGAGTTCCGGTAGCCACGCACCCCGCCTTGCCTTAGTCTTGACTGGGGGGGGGGCCCTGTCCTCAAAAGAGTCAACATTGCCTTCTGAGCGAACTTGCACAATTGTATTGTGAAGCTTCAAAACTTCCAAACACCTTCTTGATTGGCCACTTAAGGAGCCGGAAAACAGGTAAAGCTCCTGGTATGGCAAGCCTGCCTTGCAGCCCATGACCACACCTGTGCAGCCGCGGCACGACATGTCAAAGAGCACGTGACATCTGCCAAAGAGGTACGTGACATCTGCCAAGTGGCGGTGAAAGTGTAGCTGCAGGAATCATGAAGCTGCTTCTAGAAGAAAGCAGTGTGCCAGCTGGAAGTCACAAAGCTGGGATGCTGGAGGCCCCAAAAGGCTCAGGCGGCCAATACCATGACCCCGCAGTCAATTGGGGCAGTTTCCGACTGGCAGTGAAGAAGAGGTTCAATGAAAAGACGAGCGCCAATACCGTGAAGCAATGTAGCAATGGTCAGATGCGTTGCATGAAGCCCAGAAGGAACAACAATCCGCTGTCGAGAAAGTCCAGCAACCTCATCAAGCCTGAAGCCAGTGCCTTTTACAGATGAGCCCATCAAACAAAACGCTGATGTGAATCCTGCGCACCCCCTGCTCAATTTTCCGTTATCCCTCCCTCGCTATGGTCGGACATAAATGCCTAAGCAAATGACGCTGCCCCGAAATTAGATTCACACCCATGTGGCTGCTGACATGTGTGACAAGGATGTGAGAGATGGCAAAGTCGGGGTGGCAGTCAGGGAGCTGAGATTGAGTCAATGCGTGAAGATACTGCAGGCCCTCATGACGTCCACCGCAGGGTCTCCAATTGCAAGCCATGCCATCCGCTCGCAGGTGACGCCATGCCCGAGCCGCCACGACGGCCAGTGGAGAGGCGGCCGGATCGCCCAGTGGAGCGGCCGCTGGAAAACCCGGCGCGGGCGCCCATGGAGCGCGCGCCCATGGAGCGGGCGCCCATGGAGCGGGCGGAGCGGACGGAACGGCCAGAGCGGCCTGACAGGCGCGAAGGGAGCTGGTGTGCAAATTGAGGCGTGGTTGTCCAAGGCGAAAAGGAGGATGTCCAAAAGAGGTTGTGATTGGCTGTTGTCCAAGGGTGTGTGCAATGGCAAGGCAACCAGCCGGCTAAATGCTCATTGCCACCAGTTGAGCCGGACATCGTGCAATGGCGGCCTTGCTACTGTTGTCATGTCGGTCTTCCATGCGCAAGCACCCCAGACACGCAGGGATGGACAGACAGACACACACACACACATACACACAAACAACACGATCCTGATGCAAATGACATGCTTTCCAAATCGCGCTCGCCAGTCCTGGACCCCCGCAGGCAAGGACTTGCTGGTTGGATAGCGTTTGGTGGGTGATTGCACCCAGCTGTATCAGTGATTTTGTCGCCGCACGCTGCAGAACGTTCACAGGCAACCATGCCGAATTCGACTTCCCAATTTGAGCAAGACTCAAGGAGATCAGCTTGTTGTTTGTGTTGTGCATTCTATATTCCTAGTGGCAAGTCGCCATCAATTTCTTGATTCGAGCAACAAACTATGTTCACCATCATTTGCTGTAGCAATTAAGGGGCATGACATGGGGCACACTCACCTAGATTGCCATACATCATGGGATTTACCAAATTCTGTGTCATTGAGAGGTGATGGTTCAGAAGTCATATGGTTCATTGGATTGATACGTGGGAACTTACTCAACTTCTCACACAAACTCAACGGGGCGAGCGTGCAAGTGGTCGCAATCTTTGACCGGGGCTCGTGTCATTTCAGGCGCGCAGAGCGGGTGTGCGAACGCCTTTTTGTCGCCAGGTGGAGGCGAAATCCCCGCAGAGCAGCTACAACGGCGGGGCTCTGGAGGGATGGAAGCTTTTCTGGCCACCTCTCCACAGAATCCCTAATCCCATCGATGGGTCCATGTCCAATTGGATTCATGCCCATGTGGGAGGGGTGCAACGTCCGTGTTTTTGGAGGGTCGCCTTTGCACCCCAAAGGGATACCAAAAGGACATCGCCCCACACACACACACACACTTGCACACGCCAAGAGGCCTTCGAGCACCAGTGGCTCCAGTGGCACCCATGGAGCCGCCCGTTGCGTCGCCTCCGGTCTCACGTCCGGAGACGAGGCCCCGGGATGGTGTTGGTCACTTGCTCGAAACCTAGATGAAGGTACGGGAGAATTCGTGCGGATATTTGCCCGCCTGATTTGTGACTTGGTTTTGGGCAGATGCCTGCAGTTGCCAGGTTTTGATCGTGGCTCTCATGTGCCAATGTCAAAGCACCCTTTGACTTGGGTTCAATGGAGATGATCATGAGCCTTTTAGTAGGGATTTGACACAAACATTGCAAAGGTTCCCATCGCATGTATCAATAACACCGGCTACCATGCAAGGATGATGAGCCCCAAAAAAGAGAGGTTTTTATGGTTGGATGTGAAAATTCAGATGGTGATTCTTGTGCATAACACACAAGTGCCAATTGGGCTCAAAGCGCTTGGCGCGTGTTGCAGGCTGGACATGGACACGATCGCCACGCAGCACCCGCAAATGCTGGGGGTGCTGAAGCGCAGATTGGCCGTGGCCCGAGTTTCTCCGGTTTTTTTTTTTTTGGTTTTCGTTGATCGGAAGATGCGAGCTGTGTGGCCCCCGTGAGGTTGCTAGAATGTGTCCAGAAAGTAACGAACAGATGCACATTTTCTGAGATTCTGGCTGACCTTTGTTTTCGCTTGCGTTTTGCGGGGGGAGGCTCACCAGCTTTTGCTTTGCCCATTTGTTTGAAGACATTGCAAATTACTCATCAATACCCAATTACCAACATTGTTTTTTAAAGCCAGTTTTACCCATCATTTTTTGCCAAAAGGGGGTTTGGGACGTGTCCCCCAATAGTTTGTTTTTCTTACACGGGTCCTTTCCCAAGACTGAGTTTCCCCAAGAGTCGGGGCCCCCAAAAGTTCTTTGCCCAATGCTGATCCAATTTCTACTCAACACCCAATGTCACAAATTTCCTCTACAGATTAATCTGGACCCCTCCTCAAAAAAAAAGCAACATTTGTAGAACAAAAACAAATGGAGGGACCCCCAAAAGTGGGGTCCCACGTGACATTTGGGGGTTGATTTTCATCGCTTCCCACTCGCAGGAGCAGACCCGTCGGCTCACGGAGCTTTGGGCTGGGGGCTCCGACACGAGGGATGGGTGGGATGAATTTTGAGGGGCTCTCAAAATTTGGAAGTTTTCCCTTGAGATTAGCGTTTGCTGGCATTTTGACGGACACGGATGAAACGGTCACTTTTTAGGTCAATTTCCAGGTTTCGCTTTGGTAGGGTGATGCTATCCCTTCTTCTAGCCAACAAACCTAACTTTTTTTGACCAGGTACTTTGGGGAAGTAGAATTCATAGCTATTAAGCACGCAGCTTCTCTAGAGACCTTTCGACCTTTACCAAACTTCTGATCGTAGAGATGCGTGCAACCGAAAGTTGATGGGTGCAAACACCTTGCGAATTTGTGCTTAAGCACTGTATTGTAGCAACTTCAATTCTCGGGATTCGCTGGGCATGATCGGCTACATGGGTAGACTTAACTTGTGTCGATATCTAGCATTCAGATGAGCGTTGTGCTGGCAGGGCGACTCAAGTACATACAGTAACCACCATAATGCGGTTTTGAGTTTACCAGTTCAAGGAATGAGCTCACGCCACACAATTCAAAAGTAATGGGAACCCCGCATCAATAAACCCTTGGTTGATTGTGATCAGGGGATTTTCCATTTCGACTACTCCCTCCTGTTTTTCCACCAGGTCTCCTTGAAGGCTACATATGGCCAGTCAAACTAGGAACTGATCCAAATCCTGGTGAAGCAGGGTGAGTGTCTTGGTTTGGGGTACCCGCCTTCCCACCCCAAAATGGACCCACGCAAAATATTTGGATACATGTTTGTGTGTGTGTGTGTGTTTTCCACACCCGCCAGGTTTAGGGTCGTTAGATTTTAAGTGACATCCGACTTGTCCGTGAAAGCTGTGACAGCGCCTATTGCTGTGATAGGTTGGCCTGACCTTCATGTCTACGATAGCTGTGACAGACAGGAGCTGACAGCCATGACATTCAGAAGCCTGAGGCTCCTGCCAGTGTCCAGACTTGGACAGCTGTGATAGACTGAAGCTATTGGCGATGCCATTGACATCGGGGCAGTGCGCTACAGAGCGGTTCCTGCGGAGATACGGTTTTCTTGGCCAGCTCGCAGACTGAAGCGCAGTTTGCCGGTTTTGGCCCGCTAGCTGAGACATGGGGGCTTATGAGCAGTTCCGTCACAAGCAAAGCAAGCGCCTTACGTCAAGCTTGCTGGCTTTCGTGCAGCGGTCGTCTTGCTTACTGGGCTGCTTCAACTAGCAGGGTTTGGCGGGCTGCTGTTCAGGCTATTCCCTCTGCCTGCAGACAAGGAGTGCCACACAAACAAGGTCACACGGAGGCATAAAGCCTGGTGGTTTCATGGCCGCTCTCTCTTTCTTCTGCTCCTGGCTCTCCGTCGGTTTTTGGAACCTGACAGCACATGTGTCAGATCCTGCTGGCATGTGTGCAGTGCTGAGCGGGTGCGCGTGAGCGGGTGTTCTTACCGTTTGGCTGGCAGGTGTGCAGTCATGACATGATGCGCGTGAGCGGGCGTTCTTACCATTTGGCTGGCATGTGTGCAGTGCTGAGCGGGTGCGCGTGAACGGGTGTGCCTATCACTTGGCTGGCATGTGTGCACTCATGACATGCTGCGCGTGATGGCTGGCATGTGTGCAGTCATGACATGATGCGCGTGAGCGGGACTGCTGCGAAGCACAAGAAAACAGGAGGTTTTTACCACCATGCCTCCACAAACAAGACACTGGACTGGCAGTGGCTTGTGAGGGTCTTGTGCTTCTACTTCTCAAGCTCACACACAACCAGTTCCTGCCGCCCTATTTTTCGGTACGTATCGGCGATGCCCCCCCTCAAAAACATTGGCCTTGGGTGTGGGTCAAGAATAGGGCAGCCCCAAAATGGCTTGCCCTGGTAAGTGGACACAAGACCTGAAAACTGCGGTCCGATTCTCGTGGAGACGTGAACCCCTGATGTGCGCCAAGTGGCAGGGTACCCGGAAACACCCAGCCACCCAGTGATCGCGCGGTGGCTTGTTCAGGCGCAGGGCAACTTCTCGAGCATCGGCTCCGTCCTCACCATGCCGCAGGCCATGATGTCGAATCGAGACATGTCAATGGCGTCTGTTTCCGTTTGGGGAGGCCATTCAAGAGGCTGTTTGATGAGAATGGGGTCCTGGGGTACTTTACCTTTTTGGGGTTGGTTGGTTGAGGGCGGAACCTCAGATTTTCGCATGTCTTTTGGGGAAGAAACAATTTTGATCTTAGTTTCTAAGCATCGATCAAAAAAGCTGTCTTTGGGATGGCGGTCATGGATTGTCAGACATTTTTGACCATGGCGTGCATGGGGGACTCTCCGGCCTTGATGTGGATCTGGAGTGTTCAAAGAGTTTGGGATTAGGCGCCAGAATAGCCATTGTTGGGTCGTTCATGCATAAGGACTGCCGGACCTGGACAAATCCCCACCCAAAAACAAGGAGCACCTTCAAAGAGATACCCCGTGTTAGGGTGACATCTTTGGGCTCATTTCTTCATCCAAACGCGGGATCAAGCAACATGCGAAACCAACACAACACCAGTTGTGTTCCTCGAAGCACCAGGACCAGGCGGTGCTTTGTGACCTCGCCCGCGGTTTGATGCGGCCGGGGGCATAAGCTGAGCGGCTTTCAGGTCGAGTGCTGAAGGGTTTAGCTCCAGTGCCTTCTGTGACCTCTGAAGGGGGCAACATATGCCGTTTCAAAACCCATCAAAAGTGACAGAGAGCGCCGAAATGCCCGGAGTTGATATTTAGGTTATTCTAACAACCATCAAGCAGTTGATATTTAGGTTATTCTAACAACCATCAAGCAATTTGTGTTTCCCTATTGGTCTCTTTCTCAGGTTGGTGAATGAGTGCCTCCCAAAAACACATTTGCTCTTTTTGTTTGTTGTTCGGGAGGGGATAGCCTCAAGGGGTGTGCCTCAAGATATTGAACCCCTAAACAAATCCACGAAGGCTACAGTTGGGTGTAAGGCATTTTGCTTCAACCATCCCTTTGCTTACCCTCCTGCAGATGAACATGTACAGTTTAGAGGACTCTCCTTCTGGGGAACCCTTCTCTAGGTTTCATGCTAATCTTCAGGAGAGTACCCGCAAAAGACTTGTGCCAGCTACCATACGACCCCGTTCCTTGGCACCGAGGAAGGACCTGGGCTCCGCTTTGACCTTGGACGCGGCTTGGCAAAAACAGTTTGGGGCTGGAGGCGAGATTGGTTTCTGGGTTTGTGTCTAAGGGTTCCCTTGGTTCCCCCTTCCTTGGTTCCCCCTTGGTTCCCCTCAATTCCCTTGGTTCCTCCTTGGTTCCCCCCCTTCCCCTTGGTTCTCCCTGAGAACTCCCTTGGTTCCTCCTTGCTTCTGCCTTGGTTCCCCCTTGGTTCCTCGTGGTTTTGCCTTGGTTCCCCCTTGGTTTTTTCTTGGTTCTTCTTTGGTTCCCCATGGTTTTGCCTTGGTTCCCCCTTGCCCCCTTGGTTCCCCCTTGGTTCTGCCTTGGTTTTCCCTTGGTTCCCCCTTGGTTCCCCCTTGGTTCCCCCTTGGTTCCCCCTTGGTTCCCCCTTGTTTTTTCTTGGTTTCCTCTTGGTTTCTGCTTGGTTGCCCCTTCCCCCTTCTTTCCAACTTCATTCCCCCTTGGTTCCCACCTGGTTGGTTCTCCGCTTGGTTTCCCCTTGGTTTTCCTTTTGGTTTCAATTTTGGTTTCCCTTTGGTTTCCGGGCCTGACCACTCCAAACCCAAAGAGTGTTCCCTTCAAACCGTCACAGCCGGCTTTCCTAGTGCAACCTTCGATCCTGAGGCCTGCTGGGCCTTTCTCCCCTTGCTGAAGGCTGTGCTAGTCGAGTCAGCTGCTGCCCCGCATGGTCGCCATGTTCTGCTTGAGGGCTCTGCGTGGGATCAAACAACGCGTCGCATAGTCCAGTAGCAGCAGCTCTTATCGCTTTCGGCTCAAGGGCCATCCTTCTTCGTGTATGAGGTGCATGACATGCTCACTGCGCTTTGCATTTGGGCGTGCCTTGTGGGTACCCACTTCGGGGTGTTGCGAGAACCGTCCCTTTGGGTTTGAACCTAGGGCAAACCTCTTGACTCCTTCCAGGAGCTGCTGCTGACCAGCAAGTACGAGGACTTCATCGCAGCCGCCTTAGTGGGAAGTGGCGGTCGTTTTTTTTTTTGGGAGCCCTTTCGGTTTGGTTTGAAGTTAATCTTTTGGCCTTTTTTAGGTGGTCCAAAGAGAAAACAAAGGGACGCTTCCCTCATTTTGGGTTTTGGGTTGGTTGAGAGAAAGAAAGAGCCCACCAATGTTGGCCTTTTGGTTGGTTCAAACAACAAATAGTAGGACGCCACCAATTTCGGCTTTTGGTTTAAAGAAAAACCCATCCTTTTGGTTGGCTTGAGGAAAAACCACAAAAAGACCATCTTTGCAGGACTTTGACAAATTGATTTGACTCCCAGGGCAGGTCGTTGGTTTTGTTTTGCATTCCTCATGATGAATCAAACGGCACTCCGAAAGGGCCTGCAAGGGGGTGGTGGGGGCCTTTGATTGGTCCCCCTCCGTTTTTGTCAGACATGCCCAACGCAGGCCCCAGAGTATGTTTTATGGCGACAATAACGCTTGACTCTACATACGACGTCCGCATATGAGCAGCAATTTGGATGTTTTCTGTTTGCTTAGAGGGGGTCTATGATTCAGAAGTCCATGACATGTCATGTCCTAATTATTTGATTGTGGTTCTGGCATTGCAAGGGGTAACATATTTTGTCCTCAAGCGGCCTAATGGAGCTGTCCCTAGACAATCCGAGTTGATGTACCAAGAATAAGGTTGCAAAAATGTCTTCTGAAGGGTTTACAGATAGGGCCCCTCACAGTCTTTACCTGGAGTTCCGGGTTCCTGTATTTGTGGTTTTAAGCATCACCATGGCCATACTGTGGGTGGACAAAATCCATTTCGCACCACCTACGAAACCCTCGAATGATGATTGGCCTCTAAACACCAACCATGGTTTCCCTTGGGTTCAAAGTGGTGGCGAAATGGATTTCGCAACCATCCACAGTATCAAAACGATCAAAAGGGATCCTCTAAATGGAGCGAAGGGGAGACCTCGGGAGCCCTGCTTGCGTTCGGATGTCAGGCCACCGCGCTGGAGTTCACGGAGCTGCTGCTGGGGCAGTTCGGAAATCTCATCAGCGAGCCAGGGGTCCCAGGCTTTGGGCGGGAGACGTTTTGAGGTTCTCAGAGAGAGAGGATTTTGTGAGCCATCGACAGAGTATTTTTGGCAAAGGATCAACGCACCACTAAAAAAACGGGGTGGTAGAGGGGGCCTTTGCTTGTTTGTTTTGGTTTAGCCTTGCTTAATTTGTTCACACTCAAAGCAGACTGAGCCAAATTACTGCCGGAAGAAAGGTGCTCGCTTTGAGAAGCCACTTGCTAATCATTATTTTCAACTGACAGCGCTGAGTAACTGTATCCTTGGTCGGCCTTTTCACTTGCCACAAATGTGGCCATGGGCAGTATTGAATGAGGCGAGAAAAAACATTGACCCCGAGTTGACATCTGTTTTTGAGGGCAAGTGTTCGGGGTGTTGTTTCTTTAAGGAAACTAAAGTCAGGTTACCCCTAGTTGGCTGTTTGGATTGGCGGTTTGGGGATTTGAACCTCTGGTTCTTGAAGACGGCAACTGGGAAGCCACCCCCCGGGCCTGCGGTCCATCTGGTGGTTTCATTTTGATTTTGACCCATACCAAATCCGGAGGCCAAAGACATGGACTCACATATGCGGTCATGTCCTGGCCCAGACCCAATTAGAGGGAGGCAAAAGACATGGGACTAACATATATGGTCCATGTCCTACCCATACCCAATCACTTCAAATATAGAGGGAGGCTGAAAGGAAATCCGATTCACCTCCGAGTCACCCGAGGACCCGGGAGAGCTGTGCGCGGATCCCGGAGAGGCAGCTGGACCTCGCCCGGGAGCAGCGGATGCGGAAGTGCTCCTCGCGCCTGGCTCGGGATGGATCGTTCGCAGGGCGAAATGGCTGGGGCAAAAAGAGTTGGTAACCCCAAAATGGGTGGCCCTGGGAAATGGAAACACGGACATCCAAACCTGCGGTGGAAGTCTGTTTGGCAGTTGAATGTTTCTGTATGCGATCTTCGTGGTTATGGCTGCGGGCGTCGGCAGAGGTTGCTGCTCGCGCTACAGCAGGCAAGATGTGATATGTGCTGTTAGTGCCTCTCAGCAACTGCACAATTACAATATTTGGGATGCATGCGCAAATGCTTGATACTTTGAATGTGCTGCTGAATAGGGTGTTTGGGTGGTCTTCTCACCCCTGCTGTCCATCCTCGCTCGGGGTAAAGTGCCCAAACTCGCTCGACTTACCGGAGACCATGGCCGCAGGATGAGTTTTGACCCAGCGGGCTCAGGGTTCTCCCCGTGGTGGCGGGGCAACCCTCGAGCCGTTGCCATGGCCAACTTCGGCCAATTCAGGCTGCGGGTGGCTGATGCAAAGGTGAAGCTCAGCATGGGGTTTGAGGATTCAGAGCGGACTGGGAGCGTACCGCTTGTGATTAAGCCTGGCACAGTCGTTTTTGCAGACGGGCAGATGTGACGCTAATCCTCTTTTTCGACCCCGCTGTGCTGGAGACACCGAGCCTTGAAAGCTTGCATGCCCATAGCCAGTTCTCGTCATGCGGCCTGCCGGCCTCACCAATTCAGTGAGAAGTCTGCGGACGGGGCTACTTCCCACAGTCATTTGTAACGGGCCTTCCGCTGTTGCCATTTGAGCGTGAATTCCGCGCATCTTGGCATCTTTAACGGGACTCTCCGTTGATTGCCATTTTTGTGCGATTTTCCTTTTGGTGGGGTTAATTATGTTTAAGGGGGGAATAGGTATCTTATCAGACACCCTGTGAAACGGTGTGGGGTAGAGGCGTAGAGCCATTTTGTACACCGGGGTGAAAGTAGATGGCGCTCCTTACGTCCGTGAGCAAGGATGATAGTGCAACTGTAGATCCCTCTACCAGGTTCTTATATTGCCACTTGCAAGGTGCTACGAGCACTTCAAGGAGATCCACCAACTGCTGGTGGCAGGCACGTTCAATTTTGGGTGAGTATCTTTTTTGGGTTAGCTTCAAGGGAAGCCAAATGGAAAAGCACAGTTCTTTGGGAGTCCCCCTATTTTGACATATACTCACAGACCTGAATTCACAAAGAAGATGTCGACATTTCCCATCCGGAAATCGCAGGGCCAAAGCCTGCGGATCTGCGGGCCCGGCTGGTGTGAGTAGAAAAAAGCCTCCATGAACTCTCAAAGCCCTCTTGGTAGAACCAAGCACAAGGTGTTCCCCCAGGAATCGGCCCACTGAACTTGGGAATCGGTCGTTCCCTGTTGCTTTTTCCCTTTGGAACCATCCAACGAGGCATCTCCTTTGGGAAACTCCCAAGTGCGATGGCTTGCACTTCTGCGGATCAAGGCCCCAGCGCCAGATTCGGCAAGCTGAACAGCAGCCTGCAGGCATGGGGAGCTCTGAGTAGCGCGGGTCACCGGCTTTTCTTTCCAAACAGGGGATGGTAATCTCGCTGCCATGGAGCTTGGGGTGTCCTGGTGGCCATTTTCCTGCAACCGGGGTCTATTTTGGTGGACGGGAGTGTAAGCGTGCCAGCGCCACCTTTCGGTGGGCCCCTAATTGCTTGTGGCTCGAGGCAGTGCCAAACGCTTGGATTTGACAGGATAACACCTTGAGCATGGCCCACGAGGGCCACGTTTGAGTTGACCAAAGGGGGGAATACGAGGAGGCCTGTTGGAGACTGCCGGAGGCGTTCATCCAACGCGGCGAGAGGATGGGGTTGTGAGACCATAGGGATTTTCCTAGCGCCGATGCAAGCGTTTCAGCGATAGCGGTGAATTACACGGTTAGCTTGCAGCACACGTCAGGACAGAGAAGGTCAGTGCAGCATTCAGCATGGAAAGCAAGGTTTTCTCACTTTCGTGGCGCTAGTATTTCATTTCTGGGGGAGGCAAGTGAATCTCGTGTAGCAAATGATCTCACGAGAATGCACTGCCACATATGTGCAGGTTGCAGTACAATGCTGCTTAGGGCCTGACTGAGGTGATAGTGCCAAGATGCTGCTAAACTCATTCTTTGACACAGGAATGGATTATGAAATTCAATGGACAAAGACTCCAGAATGGGATGGCACAAACCCCATGTAAATCTTGTCCACGGGATCCCCAACTAAGATCTATATCCATTGTAGTAGGATTTGTGGTTCAGTGAGAGGCTGATTTCGCTATCCACGACGCCTAAACAGGCGGCCCCGTGCTAGCGGTTGGGCTGACATTGTCATGGCCTGTTTTTGCGGCACGGTGGACTACGCGGGGGCTGGGGCAAGCTTGAAATCAGAGCGAATCCAGCCTGTGCATTCGCATGCATGCAACGCCAAGCTTCTGTCGTGCGATCAATCTGGCGCTTGTGCAGCACTCAAGCTTAGTCGCCAGGCATTTGGCTTCTAAAGGAATGACCAAAGGCTTAAGGCATGGTGGACAGACAAGTTGTCTTCAACTATTGTAGATGTCCACGACCACGGGCAGAGAACTTGTTCTCTGCCTCAACACGCTGGGACACTTTCAGATGAAAAGCACGCCATTCTATGCACAGCAGGAGTTATGTGTGAATCAATGGCTTGTGAGACTGCATTGTCCAATTCCGAACACGGTCATTGGCCGCGTGTGCCTTCCGCCAGTGATGGCAACAGTCAGCTCAGCTCTCAGAGGGACAACTCGCTCCAAGTCGCCCCAAGGGTAGGAATCACCGACTAACCTAGCACCCGCTGGAAGATTCCGTGAAGAGGAATCTGGTAGCCCGCAAGCGTGTTTTTAAACTTGCTCAGGGAAGTGGACGTTTTGGGGCTTCCCCAAAAGCTTTCGTCTTGCAACATGCTCCGATCGTCAGCTTCAAAGATTGGAAGGTAGCCCGCACAGCACACAACCCGACCCATCTTGCGCCTGAGCGCATTTAAGAAGGTCTAAATAGAAAGGCAGCCCCCGTGGGTCGTTCCTTTGAGTTGTCTTCTTCCCGAACAGCGAAGCCTCGAGAACCCACGGCGCCCATGGTGTCTCGGGCTGAGGCTCAATGGGCTATGTGCCGATGAGGCCGCGGCCGGGATGAGAGGGCGCCATATGGAGCCGGGAGCAGAAAATAAAAAAACGTCCCAACTCAAGAACCCCCAAGTAACTCCCACACGTCTCGCAGAACTCTGGCCATGTGGACCGGAGATGGCCCCGCCTCTTCTTTTTTGTGTGACCGGATGTTGACCGGATTTATTTATTTTTTGTGAAGGATCCCCTGTAAAACCTCCCATTGGGAAGTGCATGACCAGTCGGAGCATTTGACAATCGCCGCTCATGCGTTCACGATCCTTCAGCCTTGGTTCAGCAAGCGGATTGGCCAAGATCAACGCACATGACTGAGATAACATGGTGTTGGCGGATGTTGAGAGGTCCTTGCACAGCCATTACACCTGCACATATACTGCCGCTCCACTCTCCACGCATAAGTCACGGTGGCAACCAGTAAGCCTCAACTGTGCATCTACTTTTTTTTGAAGGTACGTCGTTTGGGGTGATTTTGAAGGGACACCAAAGGGAAAGCAACGACTTTTTTGTTTGGGGGGGTTTCCCCTATGTTAAGACATGCACAATTGCTCGATCGAGAGCAGCTGCTGTTTGCTGCCTTCCTCGCCCAAAAAGCGATGCGGTGTCGCCGGCTGTGGCGTGCAGGCGGGTCTTGGGCTGCCTTGTGATTTTTGGGGTTGTCTCAGGATAGGAATCGGATCCCTGAAATGGCAACTCCCTTCACCGTGCGAACTTTCTCCCTTTGATCCATCCAAAAGAGGGTCGAACCCCCCAGATAGTTCGGGACTCGTTGGAGTTTCCGTTGGATCTGGAGGGCCATTGTTTCCCTGAAGCGGCCAGAGCGCCGTCTTTGATGGGTCCGGAAAGAAAGCTTCAAGCTATAGGCCCCGGAGTGGTTCGGAGCGGCTCCGGCTGAGGCTTCTGAAGGGTTCCAGGTAGTTTTGTTGTGAATGCCACCTGGGCTTAGTTCGGAAAAGGGTTTCCTGTAAGATCAACCCAAAAGGTGCCCCAAACGAGAGTGCCTGGACACGATCTTTCTCGAGGATGGGTGCTGGCATGCGGCCTGGCGTGCCTCAGCTCACACCAGCCAGTGGCTACCAGCTGGTGCGTTTACCCCCAACCAGGGCCCCGGTTAAACTGGTGAAATCTGCAGTCTGGGCCCTTTTTGAACCGCACCCCTGCCGCATGATTTGTTCTACAGAAACGGAGCTCTTGAAGAAGCTGTTGGAAAGCAAGCGCCGATTTTTGGACAACACTGATTATTGCTTAACTCTTGGACGCAGACATATACACCGACAAACCTGTGAGGCGGAGGTGTCTTGAGCCGCATGCCTGTTTCGCACAGGCTGCGCCTGTGCGATTTGCTGACTCACCAGTTTTAAGGTCGCACCAATATGGGCATGTGTCAAAATAGCGGGACCAAACAGTTTGTGGCTTCTCAGTTGGTTTCCATTTTCAAACAGGTGACAAGGCTACCCGCAAAGACACACCCAGATTGAAAATCGCCGGGCGGCTAACCAAGGCCGGCTTGGGTTTCGCGCCCATCGGTACGTTCTTCCTCATGCTTGACACGGCGGGCAGAGAATGAAGGCGAGGGGCTGCCAGGATGGATCAGTGTGCGCCAGCATAGCATATGATAACCTAAGAGCCCAAAGCACCGATGGACCGATCTAGCTGCACCATATATGGTCCGTTTGCCAGGGTCCCTCAACGGATACGTTTGGGCCGGTCAAGAAATCGGCTTGACCAGATTTGGGTTCTCTTGTAACGCAATATGTTTTTGAAGGCATCCTTCTACCAGAGCCTTTCTTTTTTTGGGAACCAAACCAACTTTTGTTTGTTGCCGGGAAATCCTATGTCCAGGCCTGACTTGGCTGGGCTCGTCGCTGGGCAGCGCCAAGCTGGTGACGGCGCTGAAATTGGCTCCTGGGCGCGGCTGTGCTCTTTTTGAGGAGTTTTTGGGGTCCGAGCTCAGCGGAAAACGGGTTCCACGACTCATTTTTTCCAACCCCACACCAGGTTGATGGGCCCAAAAAACGGGTGGGGGGTCGAAAAGAGCAGGGCCCCCCAAAATCGATCGCAGGCACCCTATTTTGGGTTTGTTTTGAAGGGAAGCCAAAGTGACGACCGACCAGAAACTGGGGGGTTCCGCTGTTGAGCATGGTGGGCAGACTCGAAGTGAGTACAGTGAGCTCCCCCTTTTCTTGGCAAAATGCTTCATTTTGGGGGAAATACCTGGGATCTCATGGTGGAAGATGCCGGGAGCCCATGACCCAGGACTCATGAAGCCCGATTTTTTTTGATAGGGACAGGTCCCATGGGAATCCTTCACTTTCAGGGGAGGCATCTCCTCTTCGGATTCACCGGGTTGATGAGTCCGGGCTCCATATTGGTCTGTTGGGCGGAAGAGACTTTGCCAGGTTTTCTTTGGGGAACAGATGGGTCAACTGTGGGACAGTTGCCAGTGTTCAAGAGGCATCGAAACGTCCGGTTGAGGCCCCGAATCAAAGTTGATTTGGCCGCTTTTCCAGATGCTTCCAGCCAAGACATCGAGTTTCATTTTCCCATTGTGGGGTCATTGGCGCAGTGGGGCCGACCTTGGGGGGGGGGGGGGCGGGGCGATGAAAGCAAATGAGGCTCTCCCCAAAGGGCGGGCAAGATGCGCGAACAGGTCTCTTGGGTCTGCTTGTCAAATTAATTGCGCCACAAGGCCATTTCCTGAATGATCAGAGAACGCAGCTTCTCAGCTATTTCTCAGGTGACAATGACAACTTCGCCCCAGCCAGTCTGGAAACTATTTGGTGAGGACTGCATCATTGATGCAAGCAGGCAGGGGCAAATAATGATAGAACGCAGGCAGGGCGGCGAAAGTTACATTACTTTACAATCCATGCTGGCTGTTGAAAGAAAGCATTCCCAACAACAGATATCGAAGTACGCAGGACCATTTCACAAGGGGGAAGTACTGCAGTCGTCCAACCATGGGCATTCGAGAAATGTTTCATGTTGGAGAGAAATCCAAGGCATAGGTCTCTTCCAAGAAAACCGCCCAGTGGATATTTGGAAAGCTTCAAGAACATCCCAGAGAGGACATCTGTGGGCTTTTGGAAGGTGTTTGCGGCGAGGGCATTTTGATTCAGAGCAACAGCTATGGGAAGAATCTCTGACCAATGGCGCTTGACCGTTCCGTCACGAACCAAGGACTCTTTGCCGATTTGAGATTCGGGCCCCGGGATTTGGAAGCCACGAGCCGGATTTGGGGAACCCGGCAGGCTCTTGTCGATACGGGGCTGGGTTCCTTGGTTGGGTTCCGCGGAGCCGGCGAGAGGGGCTGGGTCGACATTTCTCATGGCCGGTCGATTGTATGTAGAGGGCTGCGAAGCAGCAAGCTTCATGCTTCCTCTGCAAGGGAGAAGTGGCTCATGGTATCTGATTCAGACATGGCCCTGTTTCCCAAAAGCTTGGCTTCAGCCCCGACTCTTCTTTTTCACCAATCCAAGTTGGCTGCTCTTGCCAGACAAAGGCTGCGGATTCTCTCCGAAGTCGGACATTTTTGACGAGCTGATCCAAAGGGCTGACAGGGTTCTTATGTTTTGGCCATGTTAAGACTAGTCTCCTTTTGGTGGGATGATGTTTTCAAAATGGCGTATTAGAACCGCTGCGCTCCATCCCACAAAAGTGTCTTTGTGGAAGTCCTTGTCAGAGAGCTGTGCTGTCTATTGACCAGGCCGAGTGCAGACTGGACAAGGATGGAAGTGCCACTCACCTGAAGCATCTGCGATACGTTTCTTGCTGGAATCTCAGCGAATGCGTTGCAGCTGCTTTGCGGCAGACATGTAGGTGGCAACGGGTTCCTAGCCATTCAGACAGTCAGTTCGACAGGTTGGATTCATTGTCTGAGGGGCCAGACGATATTCCAGATCAGCAAGGACCCGCCGATGCAGGTCGTGCCAGACTTTCTGTCGCCCAAAGAGGTGGATGACACTTGCATGAAGTTGCCGTGTCGAGGCTTTCAGTGCCAGAACTTCTAGCATGGCTGGGTCCGAAATCACCAACAGCTTTTGATTCTCCCAAAAGAACAAAGGGGGAAGGTCGTTTGATTGATTTCCCAGAGCCACTGTTGCACATCCAGATGGGCATCGGCAGTGAGGAACTGCTGGCCCTTGTCCGAGACCGCTGGCAGCCATCCATGATTGATCCGTGTCTTGGCTCACGCAGCCCACTGCGAGATTTTTGTCAAGCTCACAGCCCCCACATTCCTCAAACCTTCTTTCCAACTTGAAGATGAAAGTACCAAGATTTGGGTGTGGCTCAAACTAAAACAGCTAGGGTTACGCAGGTTTTGGTCCATGTTTTCACTTACCATGGTTCCATTTTGGTACCGCTCTTTTGAGCCACAGCCATTTATGTGTGTGCGTATGCAGTTCTTCTCGAAACAGAACGTACATGAATTCAGCTGCCAACACTTAGTGATGGTCCAGAGAACGCCCCAGGTTGCAGGGCATTCCTGAGTTTTGCGGATTGCCAATGTCTTTTGCTCCAACTGATTCCAAATTGTAGATTGAAAGGGGAGCTTCTGCTCATGACATGCACACACCCGAAGGGAACGCAGTGACAACCACGGGATGGTTGTGCATCAGCGCTCCGAGCCTCTGAACTTAACCATTTTGCAGGTTAGGATCCTCATCTTTGCTGTGCTTAGCACAGGGGAGCCGCAGACGTTGATCTTGGTGAGACAAATCCCGCTTGAAGAGGTGCTCCTCAACTTTTTGATGCTAACAATCAAACCACTTTCGAATGCTGTTTTTCATTGAATCCCAGTGGCCAGGAGTTCCTACTTTCCCAATGGAAGATGTGCCCATTGCGAGCAGTGAGCCATCCATGGCTCCCTGGGCCTATTTTCGGGGGGAAAGCAACACACCCGCGGCAATTCACCGTGGGGTTCCCGCCCCCTCTTTCGGGGAGCGTCCCATGTGCCGACCTTGGCACTGCGCTTGAGGTACGGCACCGGGGAAGTGCAGCGTTCCGTGCTGGACCGCAGCTCTTACCAATGTGACCTGCGCTTCCAGGAGACGCCGCTGGTGGCGCAGGTGGCGCCATGGCAGACCCGAAGACACCCGCACCACCCCTCCCCGCCCTCCCCCCCGGCAAGCAGCGAAGCCCCAAGACGGCTTGTCTCACGCTGGACTCCAATATTGGAGTACCAGAAGTTTCGGGACGGCTTGGTGTGATATGTTGGGGGGGTCAAGTCTTAGGAAGGGCGCCTGGCTGGTTTGGCGCAGCTCCCAGTGGAGTGCCTGGAGCCCTTGGCCCTGGTGAGGCGAACAAAGCGTGGCGAAGCTTCGGTTCGGTCGAAGGGACGCTCTTGGTACCACCTGCACCTATGTTTTTTTACTTGTTAGGGAAGCCACAGGGAACTAGTCGGTAGCAAATTTGAGGCCCCAACTTAGAGGCCAATCCAGCTGATTTCTATACTAAATGGGAGAGATTGGAGAAGATGGGACCGGACTTGCCTCAAAGGTTCGCGTGGTGCGTTACAATTTATGATTCAGACCTCCAATTTTGCAGGGGGCTTCCCTTAAAAGTCAAGTACCAACAAGAAGAGTACTCTTTTTGTCACATCAGATCTGGGGTTGTTTTCATGGGGCCTTCACACAAAAGTCTCCTGCATAGCATAACGCCCATTTTGCATGTAATGAATTTGGGGGACCGTGTCTTTCACCCCTCCAACCTGCTTTTTAAGGCCATAAACCCGAAGGCAACATGGAGATCAAACAGCAGGAAGCTTGAGTGTTTTTACAGGCTCGCCAGCACAGGCCCGCCAGCACAAACAAATGGGTGTGTGTGTGTGTGTCAACATTGGGGAACCTCTAAAATGGGGGCTTGTTCTTTTGGTTTTCTTTTAAACCAACCTTAAACATCATAAAGCAAACAGAAACACATAAACAAATGATGAGCACAGGTACGCGCCAGGGCAATTCTTCGATTTGCATCATGATGGCCCCGATCGTCCGAAGACCATCTTCGTATACCTGAACGATGTGGAGGATGCCGTGTTTCTTTTTGGGCTGGAGATCACTGGGAGAATGCCCGTTGCAGGCATAAAAGTTGATTTGTGCATCCTCCAGATATTATCGCATCAGCGAGATATGTTAAAGTCGTATAGTTTGGATCATCCTTGGTCATGATGATGATCATGTTCATCATGTTCATCATGATCATCATGATCATCATCATGATCATGATCATGATCATCATCATCATCATCATCATCATCATCATCATCATCATCATCATCATCATCATCATCATCATCATCTTCACCATCACCATCACCATCACCATCACCATCATCATCAGCATCACCACCATCATCATCACCATCATCATCACCACCGTCATCATCATCATCACCATCATCTTCCATAATCATTAACCATTATTCTTTTGGCGGTGCAAACATATACGCAGCTTGGAAAACTTCAGGAGGGTGAGACCTATTTTCCGCTGCTGGGCCTCAAGTTTACGCCACGCCGTGGCACGGCGGTGATGTGGTGCAACAGCGCTGATGGTCAGGTGGATGACCGCATCTTGCAGGATTTAGAGTCTGGTGGAAGGTGGAAGCCATACGGTTTAGAGTCTGTAGGTTTTTTTTTTTTTTTTTTAGGTTTTGCAGTGCAGAGTCTGATTTATTTCCCCCTTTTAATGATCGTGTTAGATTCTTTTCCCGCTAACAAATGCGGCTTTTGGCAGACCAACGAAAGGCATGTATCATCAGGCGCTGCCTGCCTGGAACGGCATGAAGTACGGGATGAACTGCTTCTTCAACTGCCAGGTGCAGCTTCAATACATTTGTGTCGATGTGGAAGCCTCAAACTCGGTGATTTTCCTTCGGTCTTGCTTGAAACCATCCCCCAAAAGGGTTCTCTCAACAACAGCACACCGGTTTGAGCATACTTCAATTTAAACCACACAAACCAGGGCTTAAGACCCAATCTTCCCATGACCAAGTGGTTTTAGGGCAAGATCACGTTGAACCAGCTGCGGCGCTTGGATCTTTGTGACATGGCCTCAACGGCGTCGTTTGCCAGGAGCAACGTGAATAAGCGGCTGCCATCGACGCACATCGACGCCCAGCCGCCAGCATGTTCGCCCGCGAGCGGGCTCCATGGGAGACGCCCGTCGGCGTCCGCTCCCTCCAAGGACGCCTTCACGAAAACGATCTGCGATCTGTGAAGCACATCAGCTGAGAAGGGCGGATGGCTGGCGAGGGCAAGCCGGACTAAAAGAAGTATGCCGGGCTTGCAGGGTCATTTTGGCCTGGCATGTCGTGTGTTATTTGGATTTGCCGAATACTTGGGCACATACACACGACTACCTCATAAATGGTTGGCAGACATACAACCCCGTGTATTTCTGATGTCCACCAAACGGTCGCCAGCAAAAACCATCATTCCCACATTCTGGGCTCATGAAATTGACATCCTCAAGATGCCCCGAGCTCAATGGGCCCCAAAAAAGCAATTGATACCCACACAGATCCTCAAGCTTACCCTGTAAATGGAATGAATATCCCGACAATGTACGGGTACATCTGTCGCCCTCCATGGTGCCGTTGATGCTTTGTGCGTCGTTTCATTCCGCACCAACAGCTCACAGGTCATCGATGCCCCCGATGAACGGAAGGCGGGAACAAAACCAGCGAGCTCACCATGCCCTCCAGGGGAAACACGTCATGTTAGGTTTGTTTGTAAATGGGGGAACCCTCAAAGTGGATAGAGTCTCCTCTGCTTTTTCCTGCAAGCAACAAGGAATCGTCAAAAGAAAACAACACACACACTCACACATTGCATCTTGCTGTCGTGAGTTTTGCATGTTGCTTTAAGCGGCTTGCAATATGTGGACTTCGCATCCAGCGACTTCTAGTTGCCCCCTGAAAGGTCATTACCCGGGCTGGCCTTCTTATTGGAAGATTGAGCCCGTGGCTAGAGCAATCTTTGGATAGTGATTTGGGCACTTCCATGAGGGGCACCTGGTGACCGACAATCCTGGATGTTCAATGGATTTGAGCCCCGGACAACTGTTATCAAAGGACATGGGAGAATTTGGTGGCCCTCTTGAATTTTGCGGGAACTAGGGTGAACCCCCTCCCCCGTCTGCCCCAAATCAGCAATAGACTCCCAGAAACCTGCCAGTTGTTGATTTCTTAGGTAGGGCATTGCAATGACACTCCTGCAGATTAACACGGAACCTCGTGGGGACCCTTTCATGTGGGTTTGCCGGGGGGGTAGTGCAGCTGATTTGCTTCCTTGCAGCGATAGGTGTGGGGAAGCTCCCCCTTTTTGGTTGGTTTTAACAGAAAGCCAAACGACACCGACCATTATGGGGTTCCCCTCGCCTCTCTGTGGGTAGAAGTAGAACCAGCTCACCATGATGAAGATTCTTACTTTGAAATTTCTTATTGTAAACTCTTCGCGTTGCCCGCCCGGCTAGTCCGCTCTTGGCTGGCTTTGAGGTATATACTGTGCTTTAGTTTGCCTTGAAGTGCTGTTGTTAAAGTGAGTGAGTTGGCGCCGAAATGCGTGAGCTGGTTTCCAAGCTAGAGGGTGCGTGCATGTCCGCGCAATTCCACCTGGCTTCAAGGGCCAGAACGAGAGCTGCAGAGAGCTACAGAATGGTGGGTCAAGCGCAGGTCCAAATTTGTAAGGGAATTTGACTGTTATTTTTTGGCGCGGAGATTTTGCCGGTTTCTAGGGTGATGTGGCGGGAGTTGCCTGCTTTCAGGGGGGTTTGGCAGGTTTCTAGAGGGGAGTTTTAGGGGTGGATTTGCTTGGTTTGTGAAGGGTTTGCAGGGGCATTCGGCCAGAGTTGGGCTTCTAGCTGGGTTTGACCTGAGCTAGATGGGAAGTCGACCCGTTTCTACCGGCTTCTAGAAGGGGATTTGACGGTTTTTGGGTTGGATCAGGGAGAATCTGCCGACCGGTCTGGGGGCCGGCTGCTTCCAGGCTTGCTGGAGCAGGGATTTTGGCCGCGCGGCGTGGGGTCGTCCAGAAGCGGGAAGGTGGGGATGGGTTTTTAGAAGATCCCGAATTGCAGGGTTACCCCTGTTCCCCTACTTGCAATACCTACACCAGACCCCTTGAAAACACAACCTCAATTTGTTTGTAGAACGCCTAGCTGGCAGTGACACACACACATTACACATTGCCGCCCGCTAGGCAAACGGCTCCGGTGAACCTGTCGCGCATTGCTCAGTGGAAATCTGTTGCGTGTCGAGTGCTGAATGCAACCAGGAATATCTCACAATGTTGCTTTTCAAAAGCAATCATGGAAGACAGAGGGTTTTCGTGAGAAGAAAATCCTCCAAATCATCGGCTCCCTTTCAGGCTCCAAGTTTGTTTTTGTGAGGGTATCCTTTTCTGATAGCTTCTAAGAAGGCGAAAGGAGATCAAGCCCTGGAGCGGACGGAATATCAGTCAGGTACGCTGACTCTTGCATCTGCGCGAAAGGGGAAAGGGTCTTTGAAGCTTGAGGCCGTTCCCAAACTTCGAGGCGCGGAAGTTGGCTTGAGTGTAGATCCGAGCGATCTCAAGGTCATGGGTCAAATAGGGGATGTGTTGGGCGCATCAGGTTTTTCGGGTCCCAGGTAGTTTGCGAATCCCAAGAAGGCCAACAAAGCGGCAAGCCGCTTGACCCCTCTTGCTGTGTGCAGGTTTCTCGGCGAGTGAGCTGGGCGCCTAAGCCTTGCAGCTCAACCTTTCGGAGATCCTTCTTTGAAGAAATTGCCCAAGCACACACGGAATTTTGCTTAAGGAGGCCTCCAACAGCTACATCCCCAAGCCACCACTTCGCGCTGCTCTTTTTTTCTTCAATTTCTTAAGTTTGGGTTTTTCCTGTTTGAAGACACATCCATTTGTTTTGGAGTTTCACATCGACGTGGCGCCAGAGGGTGTTGGAGTGTGATGCAGATGAGAGGGTGTAGTGGCACGAAAGTGCTGATGGGGTATTTGCCAAGATATTTTGCACTCGAGCCTTTAACAAACTCGTTCCGAGCACATTCCACATACGCCATGCACCGCATGATAGTTTTCAAGCGGCGGTGACAGCTGTAAGGAGCCCTTGCCAAGGAGTTCCAACTGGCGTGCTTCGAACATGAAAAGGCGGTAACCACCCTCTTACATAGTAGTTTTCTTGTGTGGCTGCATATCCCAATCAATGCCAGGAGCTTCGGTTTAGTGGACACGTCTTGAAGTGCTGAGGCCAGGTATCTGCGCCGTTGTCCACGCACTGCCAGGCAAGACCCACGTTCTGCTGAGAAAGCCGGGCAAGTCATGTGTGGCCCAATGGCGCGAATGGAGTCCACTATTTGGCCAGCTTCCAAGGATGAGCGGAGTCGGAAACAGGAGGCGACTTTGATAACGGTAAAGAAATGAGGGCCAAACGGATGCTTGCCGGTTCGGAATGTCTAGGGGTTTTCATGTGGCTTACTGCTCTGTCATAATCTGAACAGCACGTTGCTTGTTGGAAAGGCTGTGAATGAAGCAATCACGACCACTTGAAGACTGTCAATGCAGCAGAAGTCGGGAGTCAGTTCCCAAATAAACATTTTGAATGTCGCATTGCTGGCTTGACCTGCACCGGCCAAGTCAGTCCCTGTCTTCTCAGGCCAACCCCTCAGGGCCCGTTCCTTCAAAACTCGCCATTGGCTGAGCTTTTCAGCCATGGATATCCCAAAATGGTCTTTCTCGGTCGCCACTTGTGGTACCCAAGACATGAAGCCCGGCCCTTTGCCACTTTGCACGCGTTTTCTGCCGGAGGTGCAGCTGCCGCGACAGAGCTCAGCCAATCTCAGCGGCAGCAAGGCGCTGCCGGGTATGGACACCACCCGCAACCCGGGGCTCACCGTTTTTTTAGGGGTAGCCTCTTTAAATGGAAGTGGATGGGAGGTGGGAAGACGGAACGCCTTCCTCTTGAAAAGGCTCCAAGAGTCCATTTCCATTGGAAGGGTAAAAAGGAGAGCGGTTTAGCTAAGGTGCTTGGGATTCGATCCTTTTTCGGTGTCAATTTGTCTCAATGTTGGGTCTTTCAACACGTACCAAAAAGGGAACCGGCTAAAAATATTGCAAATGGGTTGGGGTCGATTTTGATCTCCCTTTAAGCCAAGCAAACAAGTGTACTCCTCCTCCCTCAAGAAAGCCACACGCCGGAACAATCTTCCTCACCCATCACGAGCATGAGATGTCACTGGCAGCTCGAAAAGCGGCTCGCGCTCGCGCTTTCCTGGCTTGGCCAATGTGTGTGAGGGACGGCAATATTGTGGATGGCACCAGTCACAGACGGTGGGTGGGCACAAAACACTTCGCATCAGCTTTTGATGGATAAAACCCGGAATGCTGCAATTCTGGGATGAACCTCCCGGCTGGTGCCGGATTTTGTGCATCCACAGTATGGTTGCCAGCGCAGACAAGGAGATCCAATATGACATCAAGACCCACGGGGCATGAAGACGCAAGACACGAAAAGGAAAACGGACGGAAGGTTCAGAGAGGACTCATCGGGCTGCAGACTTTGTGGCCAGCTTTGCTTTGGGCGTGAAGAGGCGCACTGAAACGAGAGTGGTTTCCATGGGGGTTTTCCTCAAATCCAACCCGAAAAAGAACACACGCAAGAAAGAAACCCTCCCAGTTGGGTTTGTGCAGGTTTCAGGGACGGTTACGCCTATGGATACCGCGCGCTCCTCGCGACCCGCGGGGTGCTCAGCATGAACCACCTCATGGTTGGCGGACCTGGCTCCCCGCTTGGACAAAAAAAGATCGCACCCATCTGCAGCCACTTTGGAGCTGGCCACGACTCCCAGCACGCTTTCGGCGAGTCCACCCGCGCTTCCCTCCGCGCCGTGATCCCGATCCGAGGGCAGCATGGTGCCATCGGTGCTGGTGGCAACACAGGCGCAGGCGCAGCAGGCGGCGCAGGCGGCGTGTGCCGCAGCGCAGGCGGGGTGGCCCGGATGGGTCTCAAGCTCCGATGCTTCATGTTGGCTCCTCACACCCAAAATTGCGCTGCGAATTGGCAATGCCTTTTTCGCTTGAAGCATGCTCACGG